TATTCACTTCAAGATTTGGTGAAATAAGGTTTGATCAAAGTAGCGAGCACCTATATGCTTAATTTATGTGAACATTGTGTATTTGTCAAAAAAGACAAGTATCTTTTGGTATTACCATTAGTAAAAAATATATTTTTGAGTATATTCACATAGATGTTTAGGGCTCGACGAAGATAACATCACTCAGAGGAGCGAAGATACTTTGTCTCTTTTATTGATGATAACTCAATGTATGTTTGGGTGAACACTATGAAGTACAAAAGCTATGTGATGAATATTTTCATAACTTGGAGGAAGTAGATTGAGACTCATATTGAAAAAAAAATTCAATGTATCATATCAGACAATGGGGGCGAATACACTTCGGATGCATTCTTCAAAGAGTGCCAGAGAGCTGGGATAGAACACCACTTTATTACTTGAGAGACACCACAACAAGGTGGCAAAGAGGATGAACCGGACTTTGGTAGGAAAAGTTTTGTGTACGATATCCAATGTTGGGTTGGATATGAAGTATTAGGCTGAAGCCGTTGACTATAATTGTCACTTGGTGAACCATCTATCTTTTGCAACTATTGAGAAGAATACGCCAAAGGAGATGTCATCAGGGCATCCTGTTAGAGATTTGAGCAATTAAAATTGTCTGGGTGTTCAGCTTACTTCCACGTGCAAAATGATAAACTGAAACCACAAGCAAATAAAACAATTTTTATTAGCTTCAGTCATGAAGTCAAGGGCTTCAAGCTATATGATCAATCACAAAGAAATGTTGCCATTAAAAGGGATGTTACATTCAACAAGTTAAGTTTGTTGAAAAAATCGAGACTCAAAGCAGACGGAGAGTTCTACTAGGATCACAAATATGCAACAAAAGTTGGAGTTTGATGCAACTCCATTTGTTCCGCAGAGTTTGTCTACTCTGACTCAAGTACTTGATTTTATTGCAGTTCAGGAGATGTTTGTTGATAGTGCTTTGGAGGAGGTGGAAGATGTTGAGGATGAGGCTACTACTTAGGAATCTATTGCTAAGAGTAGGATCAGACGCCAAAATCTTAAGACCAGCTTGGTTGGGGGATCACATTGCATTTGAACTTTCATCTATAGAGGCAACAATTTCTTGTCCCTACAAAGAAGTAGCGGAGAGCCCAAACTGTGATTTTTGGAGAGTGGCAATGGATGAAGATATTGATTCTTTTTTGAAGAATGATACTTGAAGGTTGTTGAAGCTTCCTTCAGGGATGAAAGTCTTCATGTATAAATAAGTGTTAATAAAGAAATAATTATCTCATGGAGCTAATGTGTGATACAAGACAAGATTAGTGACAAAAAAAAACTTTGCGCAACATAAATGGATTGCTAATAATGAGGATTCTCACTAGTGGTCAAGCATCCCTCAATCCATGTTCTCTTAACACTTATAGCACAATACGATCTGATCTTAAAACAGCTTGATGTGAAGATTGTATTCCTACACAGGAAATTTCAAGAGGAGATACCTATTGCAGTCGCTTGAATATGGAGCTTAAAATAATTTGGTTTTCAAATAGAACAATTTTTTGTATGGGTTGAATTAGTCACAATGATGGTTTTATAGAAAATTTAATCAGTTCATGAGGGGGTAAGAGTAGACAAGGAGCAGTATGATCATTGTGCATATTTCAAGAAGT